ATTAAGGTCTATAATCTAAACCTTTCACAGAGCTATTGATTCGTCCATTCATGTGCAAGCTGCATTAACTCGGGCACCGCCTGTGTGCCAAGCCATGCTGAGCCCTGGGAACAGACATCTCTGAGCACCCCTGTCCCTCAGGGGTGCAGGATGCGCGTGCTTGAGTGGGCCACCAGCCTGGGGACGGCAAGGCCAGGACGGGTTCCCAGCGAGGTTGACGTCTGAGATGGGGCTCAAACAGGTGAAGGAGGAAGAGGAAGGAGTCCCAGTGGGAAGAAGAGCAAAGGGCACCACCACAGTCTCTTGGAGGGCAGTGAGCCAGCCGGCGCACTTGACCCCAGGGAGGCTGAGGGGCCGGGCGGGGCTCCTGTTCACGCCCAACAATGATCACCGTGCCATATGATTAATTACCCAGATGCACTGAGCGGGGGCCCTGCAGAGGGCAGAGATGCCCCGAAGCAATTAATCTGATTGCCTGTGGGACCTCATTTGGACCAAACGTTCTACTAAGTTCAAATTCAATCCCTGCTTCGTGTCCTGTGCCCAAAAAACTGATCCAGCAAGTTCCCCAGCCCCTCGTTTGCAGGCGCCGGACTTCCTACCTCGACTGGTCTCCCCCCCACCCCGTCTGTTTCTGCCAAACTCCTGTCCGTCCATCAAGCCCACCTCCACGGCCTGCCTCCCCCACCCAGGCCCCGTTTCCACACACCACACCCGCAGCAGCACCAACCCCTCCCCAAGCACCCCCCATCCCCTCCCCAGACCCCCTCCCAAAGCAGCACAAGTGTGGACAGATGTCTGCTGAATTAAAATGAGTGTGCCCTGACCAAACTGATCCCCAAACACGGAGCGCTTCCACCCCGGACTAAGCCATCTCCTCGTTCTCTCTATCTCTGAACCCCACAGAGTTGTGTTTGGGAAAAAATAAATGTCTTCTTGGCTTTGACCTTGGGCTCTGTCCGAGGACACAGATCTCCTACTGCAACTGCTCAAAGACCATCACTACAGTCTTGTTAATGTCCGAGCCTAGACACAGGGATTGATACACAGGGTTTAATTATCTGCGTCTGCATACAATTACAGTGTCAATCACAAAAAAGCAGTTTTCACCCACCCATATTTGAGGCGACATGGAAACCCCCTTACCAAGCTACTCACTGGGTTTGGACTAGTTCCCGGTAAACGGAACAGGTTTATGACCCCCCAAAATAAGCTTTGAAGGCAGGCAGGCCTATGTTCAGACCCGCCCCATGTTTTACCGGCTCTGTGGCCTGGGACTCACTCCACGCCCTTTCTGAGTATTCCTTGTTTTGGTCTGTGAAATGGGAATGATAGTTGCAATGCCCCCCTCACAGGGTGGCTGTGGAGATGGAACGAGATGATGAATGGCCGGTGCTCGGCCAGATGCTGAGGAGGCAGCTGCTGGGACCCCAGCGGACACAGCTGTAGGCACCGCCTGGAAGAACGCATTTCCACTCTCCACACCTTTCACTTTAAAAACATTCTTGGGTGCTGGTCTGTTTGCATACCTGCCGCTACTTTCAAGTCCTCAGGCGTGGGGACACTGCCTGGTTCATTTCCAGCATCCAGCACGTGGCCTGAATCAGGGAATGTGCTCACGACAGGTCACTGATTGGCATCCGTGATGTGCCGTAAACACACACGGGTGCACGATGACCTCCACAGGACCGTGTCGCGCCCCAGGGAATGGCAGGCCTCAGAGACCAAGTGGAGATGGTCCCCTGGACGTCAGGGGGAGCCTGGCAGACCTACCCACGCGCACCCTCCACCCAGAGCCAGGCTTCACCACAATCGGGGCTCCCGCGTCCCCTGTTTCCACTTGCCCACTCTTTCATTCACCCAGCAAAGGTCTGAAGGATGAGATGGCTTTCACTCCCAACATACTCATAACCTGGGGAGAAAGACCCTGAAGGGCCTTGCACAAGCTTGATATTTTTTTCCTGCAAGTAACTGGGAGTCAGCAAAAAACGTTAAGTGAGGGCATAACACAGTCATATTTGCATTTTATAAGTAACTCTTTTTTCGCTTTCCTATGGCAACGGGAATGGGGGGACTTCGAACACCTGTCGGGGAGATGTATCGGACTCTCATCTAGTCCCTGATGGGTCTCCAATCTAATACTGCCAGGCCAGAAATGTCTTTAAAATAATTTCTCCCGGCCCCCTTATTGCTGAGATGAAAAACCTTACTTTCAAGGAATGTGGTTTATCCAAGGTATTCATCTTTTTTTTAAATACAGTAAAAAACTCTGCCCTACGACCCAGTCCCCGGAGGACCCACCACCGGAGCTGCCACCACCTGTCACCTTGCCGGCATCCCCACTGGCGACAGCCTGGGCGGTGGACACAAGTCAGGGAAGCCCCTTTTCCGTGGCTGAAAACATGGGCCCATTTTGAGAGCTGGGAGAGTATCTATTCTCTCGGCGCAAGCAAAAAATTTAACTGGTTTTATACATTTTCTCATAGTGATTGAAACATTAAACCCTTTTAAGTCGGAGATTACTCTTGAGCCTCTAATGCTGTTTAAATTACAAGTCCCAGATCTTGAATGATGTAAGAGACTCAAGACCAAATGCTGCTTTTTGCAAACTCCACACATCGTCCGGAAGTTACTGACCAGGACCGAAGGCAACAGGACGAGATCGGCCTGGTAACAAAACCTTAGTGGGGGTTCTCTGCACTCTCATCCTCCTCCTGGTCCTCTGTAAAAATGTGGACAGCCCGACCTGCCGTGGGCCCCTCCAGGAAATCCCAAAGAACCCCACAGAGTGCATCTAACCTGCCTCGGACTGCAGTCTCATGACCCGCCGGGTACCACCAACCTTCAAAAGACCACAGTTGCCTGACTGAGCATCCACCGGTCCTAGTTTCCACAGCCCGGAGCTGACCGGCCATCAGCTCATCATTCCTGAAACAATTTCTGCCAGGCAGGTAGATTCTGGATGAAAATACTGAGGAGAGGCTTATTTAGTCACTGGCCAGTGGTAAATTAAGAAAACTGCCTTAACCACGTAGATGCCAAAAGCCGCTGGCGTCTGGAATAGCGGATGAACTGCAGCCGAGGAAGATGGTGTCTGGGAGAATCCCAGACCGCCTGTTCTCTCAAAGTCATTTCCATGTGCTTCAAGCAGAAGCATGAGGAGGCAGATGCCCAGCAGCTCCGTTAACACCAGCCACTTGTATCATCGACCCCTTCACCGCAGAGATCCCACGCAGGGTCCACGAGCCCCCAGGCCCGGTGCCCATTGCCCTTTGGGACAGTAGCTTCTGAGACCCTCACGAGAACCTGCCTGTGTATTTCCGTTTCGGAAATGAGCAAACAGGCTCAGAGAAGCACAGAAGTGCGTGGACGCTCACACGGCGTGAGAGTGGTATCTGAAGCAGAGCCAATGCCGGGGCTTCCTGCGCTCCAGACCCTCACCTGCAGACCGGCTCTTAGGGCCCGGGGACAGGCTGAAAGGGTGCTGGTGCAGACCCGGGGTGGCATCGCCATGGAGACCCCCGGGAGGGAGCATTCAGAAAGTCACCGAGGCTGGACTAGGTATTGGTGTCCTTTTTGGAGCACTCCCTCACTGGACAGTTCATGCACAGGCGTGGCTCCTCCCATTTGATGGACTGGGACAGCGGAGCCTCTGGCACTGTGACTTGCTTAGATCCCAAGAGAAATCAGTGATGCTCCTAAATACACTGTGAATCCATGGACTGAAGCCCGGGGGATTCAGTCCCCCTTTCCACAGGCTTCCTGTTGTTCTCGCCAGCAAGAGCTCTGCACCAAGAAAGGAGTCTCCCCAGACAGAGAGGGCAAAGAACGCCTCTTTAAACAGTCTCTGTGCTGCTAAAGTCTTGCCCCGATATGTTGCATCAAGAAGGCTCATTAGTATAGCTAAAAATGAAAAGGTCATATCGTCATTCTGCTTTTATGGCTGTAAATGAAACTCTCTGACAGAGTCTCTCAGCAAAATTAACATTTCGTAAGATGCCCTTTATCCATCCCCCGGGGCCAGGAACCCAAACACCGCCTTGTCCACAGTACCCTGGACTGTCTACGTATTTAACATAATTTCTAGATGTATCTTTATTTTCCACTCTTTGCCAACAAAATAAATGGGGAAGGTTGCTGTGCCACGTGCCACCACCGGCTGGACAATGACAACCCTGAACATTATTGCTGGACTTCGAGTTAAAAAACAAAATTCAGTTGCATAGGATTAAGACATCCTGCAAAGGATAAAGTCATGAGGCAGAAAGAAAAGGCATCACATTCTATGGGTGCCCCTTCCAGACACGTTCCTTACATGCCGAAGCCCAGGGATGGCAAATATGGAATTTAAAAGCACACCATCTGTTGTGCGATGTTCCAAATTATAAACTTAACCCTTGATATCCATGTCACCTGCTATTCGGGCACTCTTCTTCCTCGGGGTGAAAAAAAAGAGGGGGGTTAGCATATCCACTGAGCAGGTTTAACAGGATCAACGGGCGTGCTCCGTAAGACATTTTGATAAGCCCAGCATTGCAACCTGTATATTTGTTCCAGGAAATAAAAAAATCCTGTTCTATTTACTCCCAAAACACACACCACACACCCAGCGGCCATAAGCTAAGAGTCTAAAACAACCCACTAGCAAGACACAATTTTTTTTGGTAATTTTTGCATCCCTTTAAGTCCTTGGGCACTCTGAGAGCAAAGACAGACTTTTAGCAACCTTCCAGATCTGTGCAGTGAAAGCCAGAGGGGTTCCTCTCTCCGAGGAGAGAAGGTTTCTTTTAAAAAATGGAGAAGTCTTTAAGACCGAAGGCAACAAGAGCCCACAGCCCAAATCAAAAGCCCCTCCCGCTTAAACATGCAAAGGGGACGTGTGCCGTACATTCACAAGAAGAAAGTAGCGTATACGCTTGACAATGCCCATGTTTTCTTACTTGTAGGTCTGAAAAGTTTCTGCGTGCAAAACACACTTAATAAATGCGACACGGCTCATCCAGGGTGGATTTGCGTTCACAAAATAATTTTATTGTGTGTAAGAAAGCATACAGGCAGCAGCATTAAGAAAACATTCACGATGCGTTACATCACAGAGACCTGATGCCGGAGGTCATTCTCGGCAGCTCGCTTTCCTGCTACCCTTTCCATCTACCCGGTTAAGAGAACTGCTTCCCCCCAAGAAAACTCTGTCAGCTTGTCAAAGAAGTTCCCTTGGAATGCCCCCACCTGGATTCGTAGCTCTCAAGGGTGATGGGGATAATTTTTACAGGCCTGAGGACGACAGAGGAATGTGATGCCAAAGCACAGAGAAAGGACTGGCGTTTGTCAAAAGAGATGCTGATGGTTCTGGGATGCTTCACTCACCCGAAGGGGAGGGGCTCCCTGTTTGTTCCAACAGCAGCATCTTCCTAGAGGGTGACCACGAGGCACTACCTGTCAGTACACCTTTCACATTTAGACTTGAAAAAGAAAAAGAAAAAGAGCTCTAAATTCAGATGAAAGTCCTACAAAAAGTAGCCTGGGCTGGGCTTGACCTGGTGAGGTGCAGGTACAGGATTCGACCTCTGTCCCTGGTGAGACTGTGGTGACTGTGGTTAAGGAGACCCACTGTCTTCACCGCCCCGATCGAACCAGGACAGCCAGCCTTTGACCCGGAGAAGCTATCTGACCCGTGGAATAAGAAAAGATTTGAGGGCCTGTTATTTTACATAAATACAAAGTGGTACTCACCTTTGATTCCCAGCTAAGATGATACATTTCGAGTTGGGTTCTGCGTAAGCTGGCTTTTTAAAAAGGTATTTACAGAACTATAAATTACTCTCCTAGGAATGGCTTGATCATTTAAAAAATTCTGAATCCAATAGGAACTATGCTTTATTTTTAAAAAATCTTTCAACTTGTTTAGGAAAAAAAACATTCACAGCATTTGTCAGCTCTCACCTCATCTTTTATTGTGAAGAAGAAAGTAAAGGAGTCATCGCAACTCCAACTCCTAGCAGTCTTCACTGTGCTTCTGGCAGTGACCCGTGAGCGTTCAGAATCTCAGGGAATCTGTGGGTCTGTCTCACCAGCTCATAAAGTGCTCGTTAAATGGGCAAAAATGTGACGGCAAAGTCTCAGATAACTCGTTATTTTCTACTTTTAAATATGATAAATATAGATTTATTCTAGTCAGTTTAAAATATCCATATGATACAATAAATAAAGCCAATATCCACAAAACATCTCCTGATTCTGAAAAAAAAAAATCCCATTCGCACGATAAGGCTCGGTTTTCTCTTAGAAAGCACTGATGAAGGCATGCACCTGCCTTCACAACTTGAAACCTGCGCCGGGGCCGGAGTTAGCACCTGTTTGTACACAGCAAACCCAGCCCTTCTCCTTCCCTGCCCGGAAAGGACTAGCTTTTCAGTGACGCTGATCATTGTTGATTCTTTGCCCTATTTTAAGTCCTAAGATGACAATCAGTTTCTAGAAATAACTCTGGAGCCCAGGACACGTCCCCTGGGGCCACTCGCTTCACACGTGTGCCCTTTGACTCACTAGGAAGAACACCAAACACACACCGGGGTGTGTTCTGAAACACAGCCAGCCGTGTGCTGAAGGAAAACCAGCAGAGGAGGGCTCACCCGGCGTCTCTGAGTCTCACCTCAGTGTCTTAACAGCGAGCCCCAGAGAGACCTCCTCTGGCTTCGGGGATGAGCGTGGCTGGGGGGACTCATCCCAGACTTCAGGTTGAGTGCTGTCCGTTTTGGGTGACGGGCTGGATCTTTCCCAGGGAGACATCAGTGTCATAGTCCAAAATGACGGACAGGGCCGGGGACGGCCTCTCCCAGGGTTTGGCTCTTCCACCTGCCTCCTCCTTCTTCAGGCCCCCGGAGGAGTCCACGGTGTGTGGGATCAGGTACACCAGGTTGCCGTCCTTGGAGATGGAGCCACGTGGCTCGTGATGGCTGGAGATGACCACGGCCCCGTTGTTGTTGATGCTGACGGTCTCTATGGCATTGTTCGTCGTCGGGCACAGTCTGTGGCACCCCAAGAGAGTTGAGAACGCCTTCCGGAAGTCAGCATTAAAGGCATAAATGATGGGGTTCAGGGAGGAATTAGCCCACCCGAACCACACAAAGACATCGAAGGCAATGGAGTCGATGCAGAAGGACTGGGTCTCCCCAGACCCGCAGAAGGGCACCATGCAGTTCAAGACGAAGAACGGGAGCCAGCAGCACACGAACACCCCCATGATCACGGACAGCGTCTTCAGGACCTTGGTCTCTCTCTTGAAGGACATCTTGAAGGAGCTTTCCGGCTGCGAGCACTCCGCGGGCCTTCCGTTCCCCGGGGTGGCCTGGCAGTTCTTGGCGTGCACCGCCGCCCTCTCCAGGGCCGAGATGCGCCGGATCTGCTTCTGGGCGATCCTGTAGATCCTGGTGTAGGTGACGATCATGATGGCCACGGGGATGTAGAAGCTGATGAGGGAGGACGAAATGGCATAGGTCCTGTTCAAGCTGGAATCGCAGTTGTCCGCGGCCTCGCCCGGGGACGTGGCGTTGCCCTCAGAGGGGCCCGTGGGCTTCGCCTTGTGCCAGCCGAGCTGCACGGGGATGAAGGAGATGAGCACGGACAGAGTCCACGCCACACTGATCAGGATGAAGGCCGCCTTGGGGGTCATCTTCCTCTCATACCGGAAGGGGCTGGAGATGGCCCAGTACCGGTCCACGCTGATCACACAGAGGTTGAGGATGGACGCGGTGGAGCACATGATGTCAAAGGCCACCCAGATGTTACAGAAGGACCCAAAGGGCCAGAAGCCGGCGATCTCGGCCACCGCTTTCCAGGGCATGACCAGGACAGCCACCAAGAGGTCCGAGACGGCCAAGGAGATGACGAAGAAGTTGGTCACCTTGGACCGCAGGTGCCGGAACCTGATGACGGCCGCACAGACTAGTGTGTTCCCCAGGAGCGTGGACAGGATGAGCAGCGACAGGAAACAGGCTGTGAGGACTCGGAAGGAGAAGTCCCTCTTCGCCCCCAGCCCGGGCCCGTCCATGGTGGAAGTGTTCAGAGTCCTCATGTTGCCGAGGGAGCGTGCCCCGGGGGCTGTGATGTCCCTCCAGCTCCCTAGCAGGGACTGGGGTGGGGGCAGCCAGGCCCTGGGGGTCCTCCGTCACCGGGAAGCCCCTTGCACAGTCCCACTTGCTCCCCTGGGGGGAGGACCTCACCGGAATTCCATCAGAGGGCCGGGACCATGGTGTGGCAGGAGCCTGCCCTCGGCGAACCAGGTCATCCCCTCGAGAGAGAGCAAGTCCCTCTTGCTCTCTACATCTGTCTTCTGACTCCCTTGCTTCAGGTCACTGTCACTGAGACCAGCTGGCCCTTCAATGCCCCGTGGGAAGCATTGGCTTTTTAGCATATTCTAAGCTATCGGTCCAGAGACTGGAGGCCTCTGCCAAGCTAGCCAATCGCAGTCACATTTCAGGGCTGAGGCGCAGCTGAAAATACATGCCTGGCTCCTCCAAAACCCGGGCTCCGCAGCAGCTTCCCAAAAGCCCTAGAAAGTAAAGATCGCCAAGACTTGAGCAGATCGCATCTCTACTCCTGTCGAGCCCCACCCAACCGCTCCCAGGCCACCTACCTCGCCTTGGAGCAGTCTCTCTCAAAGCCCACGGAGCTCCTCGAGATGCCCAGGAGAGGCGCCTGAGTCCTGCCCTGCACGCACACTCTGGATTCAGCTCCCAATGCGCAAAGATCTTCCAGAGGGTTTAGAAAAAGGGTCCCCGGCCAGGCCCCCAGAGAGCCAGCGCTGCCCCTTTGCCTCTGACAGCCAGAGGTGATTCAAGGCCCAGAGGACCTGGGAAGAAGGCTCCCTGAAGCTCCGCAGCGCCTTGGGAAAGGACAGCTTCTTTCCTTTGCTTCCCCTCCCAGTGAGCCGAACACCACGTGCCCCTCCAGCGGCTTCTGGCGCCACGGGGCAGGGACCTGCACCTCCCGCGACACTGCCCACTACCTCCCAGGAGCCTGTGGGAACATGAGGCAGACAGAGCGGAGCTGGCGCCGAGGGAGCTCAGGCCGGCTGATTCCTGCGGGGCACAGCCCTCCCCGCCCCCTCCCCTCCCCTGCCCTGGGGGGCGGGCTTCACTTGACTGGCAGAGTTACCGGCAACAGACAGACGCACCTAGTTTGCCTGGATGGATTGTGCCGCGGGTGACCCCTCTGGGTTACCCCCCGCTCTGGGTTACCCCTCCCCCCAACCCCAGGAACCCCAGACCCTCCGACAGCACGCAGCAGGACCCGGAGGCAAATCCCGGTGTTCGAAACGCGAGTGAGTCCGAGTGGCCTGAAACCAAAGCCCAGCCGCCACCAGCGCCTCCTGGGCTTGACCACAAGCCCTTTTCAAAGACCGACGGGAGCAGGGACCCTGCTCACTTTCCCAGTCACACCAACCACAAGACCAGCCCGCACGCGTCAGACCTGCGTTCCCTCCAGGTGCCCCCGACTAGGGTGAGAAGTCCCCTCCCGCTCTCTACTCACCGCACGCTGTCAGGATTTAGCGCAGAGGCGCGACTGGCCCCCGTGCGCTCCGCGGCGCCCGAGTGCGCTCGCATCGCTCTCGGCCCGGGGCCCTGGCGCGTCCGGTCAACGCCGGACTGCAGCCTGCGCCCTGCGCCGCGCGCCCCCCGCCACCCCGCCCCAACCCGGAGCGTCCCAACCCCAGCGCCGCTCGCTCAGCGAGCCCGGGGCGCCCTCTGCGGGTGGCCGCGGTTTCGAATCCCCACTTTCCCCAGCAGGTGCAGACAGACCTCACTGGCACTGGCTCCGGCATCCACAGGGGACCTGCACTTGGACCCGCTCTCCCAGGTCCATGCCTGCCCGAACCTGGGAAAGGGGACTCCTCCGCCTAACATACCTTTTAATGTTGACAAGGATGAGAAATTCCTTTCACTGGCATGGAACGCATCGACCCAATATATTTTCCTAAAGGCTCAGGGTGTTCCGAGAGCAGAGGCAGACAGGGTGTGCAAGAAGCTTGCTTTAGCCTCAAAGCTCAGAGAGCTGTGGCAGTTACTGAGCAGCCTCTGTGTCCCAGGCACACGCCTTAGGTCATTTACCCTTCAAACAGCCCCTCGTCAGAGGCCGGCTCATCTCCACCTGGCTCATTTCCACCTGGCCCAGGCAGACATCCAGGTTCCGAATCACAACAGGGCTGATGAGGGGCCGGTGCCCCACCCCTGCCTGCCTGTTCTTTTCACTCCCACCCGACTGCCTACCCGGAGCACCAGGTCTAGCCCGAGAGCCGGCGCACTGAGTAATTGCCCACAGGGCTGAGACACAGGGAGGAACAGAGGGAAGCGAGTGGGAGGTGGAGGAGGGGGCTCCTTGGCCCCGCCCCAGCTTTGCAGGTCGCCATGCCTTCCTGGGGTGGGACGGAGAAGCAAGGGGTTTTTCCACCTCGGACCGCCTGGCTCCCGTCCCCACCCTACTCTGCCCCTGCTCCCCAAGCTGGGCGTCCTCTTCTGTGAAAGGGGGACGATGTAACAGGATTGCTGTAGGCACAAAATGAGACCCTGTGTGCAGGGGGCTGACTCCAAGAAGGGCCGAGTCAGCCCTGCACGGGCACAGACTGGGGGGCTCATTAAAAGCCCTTTATCTCCATGAGAACCCTGCACCACACTGGAAGCTCCAGTTTTCTGCATAAAACCGAATAATCCTAGTCCATTACCCACTGGCAACGGGCACCTTGGTTTGAAATGAGAGGGCTGCGTGGCCGACCCTCCCGGGCCCCGCTCCCAGCCCTGGCCTCCCACTCTCGGACTTGCCGTCACCCACAGAGACACTGCAAGTCGCCAGCTGTGGTCACAGACATGGTATTTGCGCACACACATCCCCAGAAAACCACATTCTTGTGGAGTCTTAAGCCGTCCTTAACAGGATGCTCCCAGACCCTTTTCCTGAAGGCAGCCACTCCCTGGGCTCCTGGACTTGACTTTCTCTTCCTTTCACATTGACAAACGACACAAATGAAAGGCCCTGCAGGTGGCCGGGGAGGGTCGGGTGCGCCTCAGGTTTCGAGCCCCAGAAAGGGTGGGTGGGACCGGCCTGCGGTGTGAGGACGCCCCTGGGGTCTTCCGCTGGAAAGAAACCCCCAAAGACACACTGTCCAGATGGAGGCAACAGGGGCTGGAGCTCAGGACGAGGCCAGGCCGAGGGGCAGAATGTCTGTCCAGTGACTGCAATGACCAGTGCCCCAGGGCCCGTAACCCTGGCAATGCCCGCTGCTCTTTCAACTAAAACGAGGACCCTGGCCACAGCCAGAATGCCCGCCGGCACAGCCTGTCTAGATAACGCCCAGCAGCAACCAGTGGGGCCTAGGATGTCATCACACTCAATGCAACAGCAGTTCAGCAGCCAGAAAAACCTTCGATGTGAAATGTCAATATTAACCAAAGCCTTGTTGGGACCAAAGGATGGTCGTAGCAGACTCTCTCATGTCTTCCTTCCTCTCAAGCTCCGCAGCTGCTCCAAAGGAACCTCTTTGCCTTTGCTGGAAAACGCTCCTAAATTCTTTCCACACGGACCCTCCCTGACATGCGTTTTTTTCTCACGGCTCATCCCCCTGATGGGTCTAGGTGACGGAATCAGTGATGCATTTTTACAGCGCTCAAGAGGCAGGTCTTGCTCACAGGCGCATTTCTGCCCTTCGCACTGGCAGAACCTCAAATCTCCTCTTGTAACTCGGAAAAGGCTCAGGAACCCAGGAGGGAAGAGCCTGAGGACTGGTCTAGGGAGAGTTCTGCTTCCTGTCACTGGGAAAACAAGGAAGTTGCACGGTTTCTCGTGATTCTGAGACAGACACCCGAGATCCATTCTTCGGCCACTGATGTTTGAACATCGTTGCTGAGGGAACAGGGAAGAGTAAAAATGCCACTTAAATCTCGGGGCTTTTTCCACTTGGCACAGAATGAATTTCAGAGGAACTTACAGTTTGGCTACAGGTTTGGGTATTTTTTTCCTGTTTTGTTTTTTGGGTTTTTTTTTTTTTCCTCTCTCTCTTGAAGCCAAAGGTGAAATGAAGGCTTCGGTTTTGTGCTATAAAAATGTCCCCCAAACATGAAAAAAAATGTGAACATAAATGCAAGCAGATATTAGCATGAGATATCACTGGGAATGGAAATCCACACACAAAAGCACCTTTGTCTCCCAAATTAGCACGTCTTTTAAGCTCGGGGTGATTTATGCACCGCAGGGAGGGGGGAGTTAAAAGGATGCTTTTCAACAAATTTTTACTTGGAGCTTGTAAAAAATAAATGAATGCAGAAGGCAGGCTGCCACGGGGATGGGCGGTGGTGGAGGAGTTCGGTCTCGCAATAAATAAAACAACCGAACTGCCAAGTGTAACAATGGTCTATGTTTGGGAGGCCTTGGCACTATCAACGCTGATGATTTTACACCAAAAAACAATTGCTGAAAGCATCCATGAAAAGAGAGAAAGCTTGGCTCTCTCTCTCTCCTTCAAGGAAAAGGAGACAGTTACCTACAAAGGAGTTCCCATAGACTGTCAGTGGACTTCTCAAAAGAAACTTTGCAGGCAAGAAGGGATTGACAAGAAGTATTCAAAGTGATGAAAAGCAAGAACCTACAACCTAGATGACTCTATCCGGCAAAGTTATCATTTAGAATGGAAGGGCAGATAAAGTGCTTCCCAGACAAGGTAAAGTTAAAGCAGTTCATCAGCACCAAGCCATTATTATATGAAATGTTAAAGGGACTTATTGATGAAAAAGAAGAACAATACTATAAATATTAAAATGGCAACAAATTCACAATTACCAACAACTGAATCTAAAAAAACAAACCAAGCAAACACCCAGAACAGGAACAAAATCATAGGTATGGAGATCACTTGGAATGTTATCAGCTGGGAAGGGGAAGGGGGAGAACAGGGGAAAAAGGCGCCGAGATTAAGAAGTGCAAATTGGTAGGTACAAAATAGACAGGGGGAGGTCAAAAGTAGTATAGAAGATATGAAGCCAAAGAACTCATGTGCATGACCCATGGACACGAACTAAGGGGGGAAATTGCTAGAGGAAATGTGGAGGTGGGGGCAAAGGAGGGGGAAATTGGGACAATTGTAATAGCAGAATCAATACAGTATATTTTAAACAATTAATTCAAAGTGGATTGAGACCTAAAACGATAAGACTCTCAGAAGACACTATAGTGGGCAAACAGCAATAATTCCTCAGGGACGACACCAGAAACACAGGTAACGAAATAAGAAATAGATAAACGGAGGCTCCCTTAAATGGAGGGGACGTGGTCTGTGTCTCTCTGAGGGGAAGCTGTCCCGAGCCACATGAAGAATGAGAGGGTAGAACGGGAGTCAGTCAAGGCCTGACTCCACAGCCGCGTCTCTTACGTCGGGTAGAGGACAGCTGATGAGCTGTGTGTTAGAAACAATTATTACCTCAAGCACAGAGAGTCTAGGGTGGCTGTTCCCATCACATTGACTGATGTGGGGCGAGGAATCTATCATTACAGATTTCTCCAACGACTAGAAGTCATGGAAAACACACTCATAAACTGGAACAAAGCAGTCTGCATACCAACAGATGTCATCTTTTAAAAGCCAGATTTAGCAGATTAATTAGAGAATATGGGACGCAGTGGCAGAGCCAGAGATCGCCGAAGCCCACCCACTGGAGTGAAATCATCGTAAAATACAGCCCACGCCAATGAGCTGGGGTTCCTGAGTCAAAGCCAGTATAAAAGTGGTGGTTTGTATTTGCTGCAACACAGTAACCGCCGTGGTCATGCTCCTGTGTGCTAAAATGAAACACACTGAATCAGTTACTAAAACCAAGAGGGGGGATGAAACTAATGTCTTTAGCGCCCTCTATGGGCCGACTCTGGTGAGAGCGTCAGGAACCTTAAACCTTAACTGAAGAAAGCAAAGCCCAGTGCCCCCTGTGAATTTGCCCAAGCTCACGTGCTAATAAGGGGCAGATAAAATTAAGCCAACCACCTTGGAGCTGAAATCTGGCTCAACCCCACCTAAACCGCATGGGTGCCACAAAACGGGGTGGAAGTGGCCACTCCAAGTCAGGGAGTTCGCAGCAGAACGGGGCGCTGAGTCCTGAAAGGCGGTCAAGAAATGCTCACGTTCCATCAGTCAGGGTCTCAATCAGGAAAACAGAA